ATCTTCAAGACCACCACCAGTCTGTCAATATGTCGTACGTACCATGTGGCTTGCCTGCCGCTATAATATTGAAGTGGTTGTTGTTAGATGTCCTCGGAGCAGTTCTGACTCATAAAACCCCCATGTACAATAGAATGAAAAACGGCCGATCCTACAGCATCCTTTCAACCTTTGTTTTGCTTTAGCCCACGGTTGCAACTGCTATGTCAATACATCTCACGGAGTGCCTTCCCTCTTTTTAGATGCTCCTCTGCTTTAACAAACACTTCCCTTTCCTAGGACTGTTGTCTCCCGATAACATGTCCCAAACATGTGAGACCAAGTCTCAGCATCCTCGCTTCTAAGACTCTCTGACACCTGTCAAGACGGAGCTGCTTGTTCTTCCGGAGGTCCATGGTTCTTTTCACATTCTTTGCAGATATTACTACTCAAATGTACTGGTTCTTCTCCTGTCTTCCTAATTCATTGTCCAGCTTTCACAAGCATATGTACAAGTAGAAAATTGGATCAGACACTCCTCAGTCCTCAAAGAGACCCATTTGCTTTTTCATACTTTACAGAGCTCGTCGGCAGCAGTTTTGCCCAATTCAGTGTGCTGTTGTATTTCTTGACTGCTGCTTCCATGAGCATTCATGTCAATCTGAGTAAAATGAAATTCTTGACAACTTCAATCTTTTCTGTTTATCCTATTTTTTATTGGTACATTTGTGAGACTTTAGGTTTCCTGTGCATTGAGTTGTTTGATTTTCATCAGCAAGGGATTTAAGTCTTCTGTGATTTCAGCCAGCAAGGTTGTGTCATCTGCATATTGAAAGTTGTTAATAAGCCTTCTCCCAATCCTGCTGCTGTGTTCTTCTTCATATGGTTCAGCTTCTTGGATTAGTTGCTCAGCATACAAACTGAAGAAGTACGGTGGGAAGATAACAACCCTGTCACATATCTCTCCTGATTTTTAAACGGTGCTGACGGCTATACCACTGGTGTTTCAATGGCAGCGAGATTAGCCAGCATGGAAAACATCAGTGGAGTTTACAGACTAAGACAGACTATGAAGCAAGACCTGCCGATGAAAACCATATGGATCAGTTTAGAATACTGTCATACAGAATATGGAAAGATGTGTCTCTAGCTTAGAAGGACCATGAAGACAGTGAAGGCAGGATGTTTTGCCTATTCTACATGTGGTTTCTAAGATCAGCAGCAGTTAGCTCACCGGCAACTAATAATCACAAGTGTGCCAATCTGGACCATGTTATGCCCCACTTCCATAACTACCATTTCCAACAAGGCGAGAAGAAGAAAGAATGCAAAGAGGGGAGGCAGAAAGGAGATGCATAGGATTGAAATGCACAAAGGACATAAAGAAGCACTTGCCTATTTTACCGCATCCAATTTAGACTGTAAAGCATAGCCTGGCTAACTATTTTTGGTAGTTTGGTGTGGGGAGTTACTGCACAAAATGGCTTTTCAGGGGATATGTGAGTGGTAGCCAGCTATCGTAGCTCGAGTCCCTGGCCAGTAGCTTCCTTTGGTTTCCCAACATGAAGAGGTCACCTTGATTCTGAGTTAAGATAGCAAACTATCCATAGCCATTCCTTGCTTTTGAACTGGGTTCTTCTTATTCCCATGGGGATTGGGCAATGTCTCAAGGCTTTGAGGGTCCTCACAACTCGAGGGGAGCCATGCTACTGACAAGAAGTGAATAATTACCAGCTATTCTGCAAAACCCTGGTAGCCCCTGGTATTTCTGAGTTGAACAGGGTCCCCAGTAAGATGTGTTAAAATCTCAACTTCTGATACCTGTAGATGTTATCACATTTGGAAACAGTATCTTTGCAGATGTAATTAATTAAATTAGCATGTGGTTATTCATTTGTTAGGCATGTTATATCTCAGTAGCTTTATTTTTAAGTACATTTGCAGTTTCTCTACTGAGAATGGTATAAAATATACCCCCGTTATCATGGCTACCACCATGGCAAGATAGCTATGTATTCACCCATCTTTCATCAGTAATGGGCTGAGTCATTTCTGTTTCCTTCTAGACAAAGTGCACCGCTCTCTCTCTCTCACCGTAGTTACAAGCTACTCCAAGAAGCTTCTATGTTAAAAACAAAAATGTTTTTAAATCAATTTATTGGGGCTCATACAATTCATCACAATACATAGATCAATTGTGTAAAGCACATCTATACATTTGTTGAAAAACAAAATGTAAAAAGTCTTTAGATCAAAATTGGGAACAGTCTCCATGTTTACATATGTCACCAAGCCCCAGGGAAACACTGAGAAGCTCACTGAAAAATCTGCATCCTGTTTTATCCCTAAGGGAAGCCCCCTAGTGACCTTTGAGATTCTGCAAGTATCCCGGCTTGGGTATGAGATGCAAGCGTGCGCTTTGAAGTAAGTCAAAGCTAAAGGTAGAACCTACATTGATCACAGGTTCCCACGTCCTGGAAAAGAGAACATCTCTCATGAGCATTGGACTTCTCCATGCTTTGTGTGGCAGTGAACTTAAACAACGCACCCCCGCCCCCCCTCAGTTCTCGAAGACTCCAAATAGGTGCACTGTTTATACTCCAGGAGCCCTGGTGGTATAGGGGTTACGTACTGGACTGTGATCTGCATGGCCAGCAGTTTCAAATCATCAGCTGCTCTGTGGAGAAAGGCGGCTTTCTACTCCTGTCAACGGTTACAGTCTCGGGATCAAACCCACAGGGCTCACTGTGAGTCAGCATGGACTCCACCGCAGCGAGCGCCCGAGACTTTTACTTGGACCAATATTTGCAGCTTCTCGCTAAGCTAGCTGGAAGACAAAGGTGTGCCCTAGGTCCACGGTTCTTAGTCGCTAGGGAAGCAGTTCTCAACCTGGGGGTCGAACGACCCTTTCTTAGGGGTCACCTAAGACCATCAGGAAACATATTTCTGTTCATCTTGAGAACCGAGACACCACTCCTCCAGATGGGTCCTCCCACATGCAGATACACTGAGTACCCAGCAGGAAGACTGCTACCCATGCTACACCATGCTTCAAGACAAAATTTCATTTCTTTGTCATTAGAAATAAATATTTCACAATGTATAATTATATATTGTTTTGTGATTCATCACTATGCTTTAATTATGTTCAATTTGTAACATTGAAAATACATCCTGCCTATCAGATATTTACATGACGATTCATCACAGTAGCAAAATGACAATGATGAAGTAGCAACGAAAATAATTTTATGGTTGAGGGTCACCACCGCATGAGGAACTGTATGAAAGGGTCGCAGCATTAGGAAGGTTGAGAACCACTTCTCAGGGCAATGCTTCCCAAGCTTAGCGCATCCATCCCCTTAGGGCAGCTTGTTAAAATTCAGATTGGGATCCATTAGTGAAGGGCTAGAGCCCAATATTCTGTTTCTAACAAGGGAATCCAGGACGGATGAGCCCTATAGGACCAGTGGTGTGAGTGGCAAAACAGGGAGAATGGGTAGGAAAGAGGGAACTGATTACATGGAACTGTGTGTGACCTCCTCCCTGGGGGACAGACAACCGAAAAGTGGGTGAAGGGAGATGTCCGACAGGGCAAGATATGACAAAATACCCATTTATAAACTATCAAGGGCCCATGCGGGAGGGGGGAGCGGGGAGGGAGGGGAAAAATGAGGACCTAATGTCGGGGGTTTAAATGGAGAGAAAATGTTTTGAGAAACGATGTACAAATGCGCTTTACACAATTGATGTGTGTATGGATTGGGATAACAGTTGTATGAGCCCCTAATAAAATGTTAAAAAAGAAAAAATAAATAAATAAAAAATAAAATAAAAAAACAAGAGCCCTGGTGATGCCCGTACTGCTGATTCACAAACCAGCAAGGATAAAGGACCTCTTTGCTCATAGTGTGTGCCCCCCGGTTATGGATCCCACTGAAGGGAACCTAGGAGGGAGTATCAACACATTGGGGAAGAGAGTTTTGTTTTTTTATTTCAATTCCTGTTGTATGATTTAGACAGTCCTCTATTTTCCTCTCTAAAAGAACAAGACAAAAAAGTAAATAAACCGAGACAGCATAAACCCCTACAAATAATTTTGAAATACTGTTATACTTACTGGAAGAACTTTAATGGCTTTCCTTTTATTGTTTATATAACATTGAATTTTGATCTTGTTTTTTCAAATACAAATCAAAGAGATGTTGCCTATCAGCTCACCCTTCCCCATGAAATGGAGCACCCTTTGCCTTTCTTCCTTAGAATTCATGTCTGGCTAGCAAATAAAGGTCAACCAGAAGGAACTATGGAGCTAATTGAATTAGACATTTCAGGTAGTACTCTATGACCACATTAAATTACTTTTAAATTGATGTTTGTTAAAGATGGAAGGGGTGGGGGTTGAATCAATTCACCCACATTTAGGATATAACATAAAGTCTACTAACTTCCATGATCCTTATCCTTGTGCCCCAAACTTGTGTGTGTGTGTGTGTGTGTGTCTGTGCAATCTTTAAAGGTTCATTTGACCTGAGAATTGGATGGATGCCTCAATTCTTCAGTTGTTTTTATCTGTATGATTGCAGGTGCCTCAGAAGATTTGCACTTCTCCCAGACTAACCAATGGTGGTTTTCATTCCTTATCTCCTTGCTGCTGTGAGACTCCCCGAACGCAAATCTTTTTGATTTGTTCTTTATGCTTGTCTTCCTTCCCCCTTCCTCCGGAGTCACTGTCTTAGATAACGCGCTGGTGAGGTTAACTGATGATTCATGCTCACAGACAGCAGTTCTGCGTCTTCTCAATTTCTGATGCAGTTTAGCTGTAGGTTCCCTGGACACTCAGCGCCATCTCTGGTCATGAGCGGTAACTGCGCTCCATAAAAAATCACCATTCTCAGATGTGGTTTGGGCTGCATTTTTTTGCTTTGGATCTAAGCATTAAAAGAATCTAAAGTATATGGACATGGGCTTGCTGTCCATGAACGGCCAGTTCGTACGAATGATTTTAGCACTAGAAACAACCGTGAATATTTTCTCTGTCCTAATTTTATAATAATCAGAGGGCACCAAACTCCATTCAACTTATGAAGACAATGCAGATACATTCCGTTCTAGCTCTATTCCTAAAGCTGTTTTGGTAAATGCTGGTGATACACCAAGTCTGCTTTACTATGCAGCTGTCTCGTATGGGAGATATCTGCAAGTCTGTGGGCCTTGTTCAACTTTAAGAGGAGGAAGGGTGCAAGGAGTGCAAAATCCGAGAAATCAAATCCTATTTGCAGAATTGATTTGGCCTCATGGTGAGCCTATAGGGGGAGGTAGAACGTTCATGAAACTGCACGTAACCCTTTAAAAGAATATAAAGCCTCTCTTCCTTGGTGAGCCTGGTGACTTTGAACTGCTTAGCTAAGGGTTAGCAGCCCCATCACATAACCCCCACGATGGCACTTAACAACAAGGATACATTTGCAGATTTATCTCAAAAGACGTCTTAAGCAAAGACAGAAGGTTTTGTGATTACCAGTTTCTGTTAGGTGAATTGTAATATTATTACAAACAAACAAAGGATAATAAGTATTAACCAAGCACTAATTGAAGTCTTTAAGGGTAGCTTTGCATACAGTGCAAGTTATATTCTTGATTTTCCCAAAATATTAAACCTATTATTGGAATATTCAATATGTACTTGCCTTTGAAAGGCTTCAGGAGATGCTTAGCTATGTAACAGCATTTCATGTACTTATGCATTTCAATACTCTCTGACATCTGTCATTTTGGCTTTTTCTCCATCCCCCCGCCCCCCACCAGTATCTTCAAGGAGCCATAGTGGCGTAATGAGTTACAAGTTGGGCTGCTTACTCCCTCAAGGTCAGTGGTTCAAACCCACCAGCTGCTTCATGGGAGAAAGATGAGTTTATATGCTTTCATAAAGATTTACAGCTTCGGAAACCCTAAGAAACATTTCTATTTATGCATAAATAAAAAAACTCACCGCCATTGAATCGATGGTGACTCATAGGGACCCTAAAAGACAGGGTAGAACTGCCTCTATGAGTTTCTGAGACTGTAAGTTTTTACGGGAGTAGTAGTAATTGGATGGAAATAAGTTTGGCTTGGTTTTCTGTCCTCTGCATACTCCTGAATTCTTTCCTTATCTTTTTAAGCTTCCCTTGAATCAAACCTTTTGTGTGTAATCCATGCCTAACCTTTGAAAGGGTAGGTATTTCATTTCACTATGGTATATCAAATTGAATTATTTGTAAATAATGCTTGATATTATAATAATGCTTTGTCTTTTCACTATTTTCATATTACTTTTACAAAGCTGGGGCTTGTTTATGGAATTATTTTTTTTACCTATTTAAATTGCCATCATTATTTTATTCCAGTCTAGATGGAACAACTGAAACCTATGTCCACAGAAAAGCAAAATATCAATCTAGGGGCTTCTTCTCAAAACTTTAAAAAGGAAATTACTACACAGTGCCCATCAAAGTAAAGAAGCCTAGGATTCTGAGCACTGAAAAATGGCTGTATTTCAATAAAATCAATCTAAGAGAAATTGAGCGATTTTCAAATGTATAAATGAGTAACTATATTAAGTGATTAAATGACAAATGTGTGCTATGTAGATAGATATAAAGAGGGTCCTTAAAGTGTATGCTTCATAGTGGAAACAGGTTGCACAAGTATTTCTAATATTCGCTGGTGGCACTGTGCATTCGTATTGGCTTGCTAACTGCAAGGCTGGCAATTCAAAACCACCAGCTGCTCCACAGGAGAACAAGGCAGTCTGATGCCGGAAAGAACTCGGATGGGATGGATCCATATGTAAAAAATGTTAGCCATGAGTTAATAGTTGCAGATGAGTACATACGGACCAAAAGTATAAAGGTCTATGAGAGACTGAATTAGAAGAGTGTTAGCTCTCTATGGCTGTTACTTGGGGTCTAAAGAGCAGAGAGGTATCTAAGGCTGAGATGATAGAGGTCAAGTCTGAGAGGATTTTTTAGACCATTTGAAAGAAGCAGTCATTTATTGCAAGGGGAATGGGGACCCATTAAAATAGTTTAAGTAGGAGACCAAAAGCATTGAAATAGAATTTTTAAAAACTCAGGTAAGAGCTGTGGGAAGAATGATTAAAATGAGGACAGAAACTCAGGTAAGAACTGTGAGCAGACCTTATTGAAATGAGGGTAGACAGGGGCTGAGGGAACAGTTCCGAGTCTGAGTCAGATAGGGGAACGAAAAAGAAATGAGGTGAAATTGGCAGGACTTGTAAATAGGAGAGCTCTGAATGAGAAAAAGTTGAGGAAGATCATCAACTTTTTATCTTGAAGGGTGTATGAATGGTGTACTGAATTTGCTGTAATAAAGTACCAAGGACCGAGAGAATAACATAAGAGAATTGCATTCCTTCATAGTTCTGATTCTAAAGTTCAAGTTCAGGGTTTCTACAGGCCATGTTTTCTCTGACCCCGGAAAAGACCTTTCCTTGTGTCTCTGGTAGAGCTAGGCATTTCTTGTCCTAGGGCAGTATCTCCAGTCTCTTGTGTTCAATGGCACATGGCATTCTTTCTGCATATCTCTATCTGTATCTTCTCCTCTTTGTCTACAAACACCACTCCAATTTTATGAAGATGCACTTTATTCCCATGTGATTTTATGTTAATTAACTATATCTACAAAGACCCTACTTATGATATAGGCAGCGATCACAAATGCAGGGAATAGGATATTAACATAACTTTGCGGGGACAACAATCCACAGATAACAAATAGTGATGTGATGTGATTAAACTAAAAGTGTAATCATTTTTCAAGGTTCTGAAGGCTCCCATAACATACCTTGAGTTAGGGAGAGAGATCTAGATCTTACAAAAAGGGGTTGTGGGGTAGACATTGGACTGCTAGCTACACGGTGGCAATTCAAAGCCATCAGTTAGTTGCTCTATAGGAGAAAGAGCAGACTATGTGCTCCCCTAAAGATTTACCATATCAGAAACCCTATACTGTCTCAGAAATCCATCACTATGTGTTGAAATCAACTCAGTGACAGTGGGCGAGTGAATGTAGGCATTATAAGAACTAAGAATAAGGACTATAAAGTAGCTTGGACACTAGCAATTACTTCATAGGACAATCTATAGACACAGATTCTTTGGATTACACAAATAATTTCTTACTTGAGAGCAGTAGTTGTTGGCAGATGCCTTCCAGACAATTCCAAACCTTGGCAACCCTATGGAAAATGGAACAAAACATATCCCAGCCCTGCGCCATCTTCACAGTTGCTTTTGTGTTTGAACCATTGTTGCAACCACTATGTCAAACCATCTTGTGCAGGAGCTTACCTTTTTTGGCCTCGCTATGTTACAAAACGTGGTGTCCTTCTCCAAGGACAGGTCTCTCCTGACAACATGTCTGAAGTATGTGAGATGAATTCTTACCATTTTTACTTCTTAAGAACATTCTGGTTGAATTTCTCCCCAGACAGATTTCTTTGTTCTGTAGGCAGTCCATGGTACTTTCAATATTCTTTATCAGCACCATAATTCAAAACATTAATTCTTCTTCAGTCTTCCTTGTTCAATGTCCAATTTTCATATGCATATGAGGTCATTGAAAATATTATGTCTTGGGTAAGGCTCATATTTGTCCTCAAAGTGGCATCCTGGCTTTATAACATTTTTAACTGGTCTTGTGCCACATTTTGCCCAATGCTATGAATCCTTTGAACTCTTAACTGCTGCATCCATGAGCATTGATTGTGGATTCAAGCAAGATGAAAACTTTGACAATTTCAATCTTTTCTCCATTTATCGTGATGTTACTTAGTGGTACAGCTGTGAGGATTTGGGTCTTCTTTACATTGAATTGTAATCTATACTGAAGGCTACAATCTCTGATCTTCATAAGCAAGTACTCCAAGTTCCCCTCACTTTCATCCAGCAAGGTTGTGTCATCTGCATATTGCCTTGAAGTGTTCTGGAATTCCCATCCTTCTCAAGGCTATCCATAATTTTTATAATACGCATGTTTGAATTCCTTGGATTAGTCAATAAAACACAGGTAAATATCTTGTTGACATTTTCTGCTTTCAGTCATGATCCATCTGACATCAGCAATGATATATATTGTACAATGTTCTCTTCTAAACTCAGCCTGGACTTCTGGCAATTCCTTGTAAATGTACTGCTACAACTACTGTTGGATTATTTTCAGCAAAAATTTCTTGCATATGGGATAAGTGATATTGATGTACCTTTTCAGCATTTTGTTGAGTCACCTTCTTTGGAATGGATCTAGATCTCTTCCAGTCAGGTGGCTAAGTAGTTGCCTTTCAAATATCTTTGCATAGGCAAATGCATTCTCCCATTGCTTCATCAGCTGTTAAAACATTTTAATTAGTATCCCATTAATTCCTAGAGCCTTGCTTTTAGCTAATGCTTTCAGTACAGCTAGGACTACCTCCTTCAGTACCATTGATTCTTGATCGTATGTTATCTCCTGAAACGGTTAAACATTGACTAGTTATTTTTGGTTCAGTACTCTGTATTCTTTCTATCTTCTTTTGATGCTTCATGCACCATTCAGTTTGTTGCCCATAGAATCATTCAATATCGCAACTCAGAGCTTGATTTTTTTCACTTTCAGATATGCTGAGCATGTTCTTCCTTTTTGATTTTCTAATGGTAGGTTTTTCCACATTTCATTATAATATCTTGCATTGTCTTTTCAAGCTGTCCTTTCAAATTTTCTGTTCAACGCTTTTACTTCATCATTTCTTTCATTACCGCTAGCTGCTCTATCATTAAGAATTTACATAACAACAATTGGTGGTCTATTCTACAGTGGCCTCATTTTAGCTTCTGATATTGAACCTCTCCACTGCCTCCTCTAACAGAGGTCATCAATTTCATTTTGGGGGTATTCTTTTCCACCTGGAGAAGTCCACACATGTAGGCCCCATTTGCACTGTTGAAAGAGGTATTTAAAATGAAGAAGCAGTGGTCTTTCAAAATTAGATCATGTGATCTCCAACTTCATTTCTACTACCAAGTCCCTATTTTTCAACTATTATTGCTTCGCTTTGTTTCCAACTTTCACATTGCAATCACTAATGATTATTAATACATCTTGATTGCATGTTTGA